TACTTGTTGCAATGCCTTGTTTGATATTAAATTATTTCTCATATCCTTCATTGTTTCTCCCTTAAAAATGACACTTTTCACACAATTGCATCATTCAATGTGGCTAAAAGTACGTCCGCCATAGATGACAACACAGAGGTTGTCTACCATCATCGATGCAAACACATGTTGTGACTCACCTCCCCTATGCCATGGTCACAAAACTCTTGACAATAGATTTGAGGGTTGAACTTTTGACGCAAGTATCGAATGAGGTATTCTATGTATCTATAGAAATATTATTCAGTAACATAGCTAATAACACTACTTTCATTTCCAAATATTCACAAATCATTCAAATTGGACACTTGAAAATAAATCAAACACTTTTTTCCTTTACTATAATCTCCTTACTCTAATTATTATTAACTCCATAAGCTAAAGCAATCAAGGGTCTAACCTAAAAAAGATTATCTAGTTTTCATAGATTGCACAAATAGGATAAATAAATTTAATAATTTACTAACAGAATCCTAAGATTTCAACATTTAAAATGCTCTCATACACTTCTAATATATTCAAATCAAATTTTAAAATAAGTGTGGAAGCTTGGGAATTGAATAAAGGATCAAAACATTTGAATAACATCTCAAAACTGTAAATTGTGCAGAAAATGGCACATACGTCGTGGCTAAACGCTCCTGCACTGCAATGAGCATGTTTCTGTGCCATGTGCCATAGCGCATTGTATGAGTTTAGGGATGAACTTTTGATGTATCCTAAATCTCTGTCCGATGTCCAATTGAGGTGATCTTGGTATCTATAGAGAGCTTTCTCCTAACTTTAACTAATGGCATAAGTTTTACAACTAAATTTATTTTTTATCAAAAGTCGGACACCCAACATTAATTTCACTCTTTTTTCACAAAAACACACAATTAGGGTGCCAAACTCACATGTATGTGCCAAAAGCCTACACCAATTTTTATACCACACTTATTAGACTATTTTGAACTTGTGCAACACACCACACCCATTCAAATACCTATATATCAAAAAATCAACCTTTAACCCCTAATTTCATAAAAACACAAGGGGGAGAAAATCTTTTGTACAAATCCATTAACATTTATCCATAACTATCAAAATATACTTTTTCCTACTTGCACAAATATTTTGACCTTATATAAGTTTTACAACCACATCACACTAACTTAGAACACAAAATATACATAATTTTTGCAATGATAATTCAAGTAGATCAAAACAAGCATATAAGGCTTAGTTGGCAGATTAATATTGCTCGGTACATAATTAAAACAAGAAGGCTTACACGTAGAATTTACACCAAAATCCTAAGCCTCAAAACGTCTCCCTTAATCTTGGTTCGATGAGCTAGGTCATAAAAATATTAAAGAATGAGGAGTGAGTACAACCACTCAATAACTAATGTCTAACTAGTATATACAGTTGCATGTCAATTAAAAATAGATGCAAGTGGCAAGAAAACTCATATAACACACACATATATCAAACATAGCCTTGATTATAACAATAGAAACCATGTGACCGAGCATGTATCTCAAATATGCACAACATGGGGTCGTAAAAATAACAGCCATGCACCCCTAAAGCATGCTAGATCACAATAATGACAATGATGTGGTTAAAAATAAATGTATGATCAATGTCAATCTTATACCCTCATGTTACCTCCAACATGAAATTGATGGCTATTAAGTAGCCACATCCACAACTTGAACTAATCAAACCTTCTACTTATAAGGAGCTATCAGGCTAAAGTTAGTTCATTCACTTGCGTATTGTAATTTCTCCAATATTAATAACTATGGGGTGTCGTACCCTTAAGTTAGCCTTCTCATGAACTGTTAAAGACTAGTTAGGTTTAAGTCCCTCAAATAATAAGTAGGAAAATGCCGAATCAACCATAAGACAAAGGCTATCTCTCGATTCTGGCGGTTGGTGCAAAGGCAAGCTTTCGATTTACCACATGAATTTACCAATCTACTCATCTTTCTGGGCAAACTCCCGCCAATGATTATGCTATACACATCTTGACACTTAACACATCATTTTGACACAATTCATCACATATCAACTCATGTATCCTTACTCACATATTCATCACACTCTACATGTCACATATCACATTTTTCTCATTTTTACAATGACATGCTATCAATCATAATTACCAATCACATATATGTAACATGTATAAGATTTCCCATTTTGTAAAACAATTTCACACCAATTCATCACATTGTTAATACTGCATTAATAGTTTTCACACGTCAAATAAGTTTCAAATCATTAATTTCAACAAATAACTAATTACCATACAACTATATAGACTAAAATTCACCCAATTACTTCAAACTTTTGAGAGGTTACATGTTTACCCCTCAAAATAAACACTTTCAAGGCTTCTTTCTAAGCTTGAATAGTGCTAATACCGATAGTCTACAATGAAATCACAAGGATATTACTCAATATTTCTCTTTGAGTAAATTTCCTAATATTTAACTCCACATTGTGTGATAAAAATTTCAATAACTAGATAAACATTTCAATCACATGCGAGGGGCAATATTAATGAGAATGTAAGGGGGGCATGTACAAAGCAACTATGTTCCACACATTCAAGCATGCAAACACAAATGTGCATAGGAATCCCAACTACCTTATTCCTTCTAATTTAGCCTCTTGACTAAGACCATAGGTTATCAATATAAATAAGGCTAGGTCATGTTATTGATGTAGCCCAAGCTCTCATATTATGAGGGGTAGTTTGGCAAAAAACTACTACACTCATTCTCATATCACGTCTCCCTTGTCCTTGAACCAACAAGGTGCCTTACACTAGACTCTATAATATTTTTATTCACCAAGAATGGTAACACACAGCTCTAGCCTAACTCCACACTGCTACTCCTATAAGAAGTGATAATGCACATCTATATAGATGTATAGTGGACTTCACACCAATTTCCTTATTAAGGAAGGTGATTTTTGGTATGTGCCAAACAAATATCTTGTCTAGATGTTGGTGAATCCATGTGGATTTTTATTACTTTCAATCTCCTCTACCAAAATCACAATAATGCGAAACAATCAAAAGGAGGTTTTAAGTAAAAAATCATATATTGCTTTTATATCTATACAAGCACACATTTCAATTAAGGCCCATTTTGCATAACATTTCAAAATCATAAACATCTATTTTCATACAAAAATGTACAATTTATCAATCTCACAAATATACCACACAAGCGTTGAGAAAGAATAAGTTCCTGGGCATCTTAACCATTGGTTTTACCAAACTAAAAGTACCATGTATCAATTTGATTAAGCCTTCAACATGTTCAATATTGCCAATATAAAGTTGATCCACAACTAACACAATTATAACAATTACTCACTATTCATCAACAATTATTTCAACCCAAAATCCAATCCTAAACTCACATTATGGCCTCTAGCCATAGCTAAACTCGTTTCTCAATTTTGTTAGCTTTATTAGACTCTCATTATAGTATTAATTCACTTGTTTAGCTTTAGGGTTTACTTTAAACCTATCATTAAAATCCTAACTCATCATGAAAAACATAACCCAAACCTCTATATTCCTCTATTAACTTTATTTAACTTTCATTGAGCTAAAATAAAACATTTAAAGCTTCTGACAACTCAAAATCAACACTTTATAGCCTAAAGTTTGTCCAAAATTGAAGACCCATGTAAATAGATCTATAAAATCATCCAACCCAAGTGTTGAAAGTTTAAACTACTTTTATTAGTCCTATTTAGACCGATGAGTTCGAACCTAACCATTCGAGAATCATCAACCCTACCAAACCTAGCTTAAAAAACGTGTAAGGAGGAAGCGGAATGTGAAGAGATGAGTATCTTAGTAATTTGGAGCTCAAAATCTCTTCAAAATGATACTTAATTGTTGTCCTAATAAAGCCACAAGCTTCTCTCTTCGTTCCTCTTTTATTCTCTCCTTTTGTTTTGTTATCTTGTCTACGCATTTTAAATTTTTCAAAATCCATTGCCTACCTCGACGAATATGTCCATTTGTCGTGGTTGATGGCACAAATTCACCAACCCAACTTAAAAAAAAATCTTAATTAGTTACATACATCTCTAAAAATTGTGAATTGAGACTTTATAAAAAGCTTGAGGTGTCTATTTTTTAGTGCAAAAAAAAAAAAACTCAAAAATGTCATCATTTGCCCTTTGAAAATTTTTTATTACAAAGGTATTTCATTTTTTATCTTCTAAGCCTTAATTGACTATAAAATTATTTTTTAATATATTTAAGTATCCTTAAATTCTTTTAATATAATATTAAGTTAATTAACTCAAAGGTAATAATTTGATATATTGCACCAGTGCTGTAGCTAGCTAGCTTGATATCCATGCGCAGCCTCTGGGTTTTTTGGAGTGAAAACATTTGGCCTCTTCCACGCGTATTCACTGATGTGATTTCTATTTTTAATTGACAGTGTTAGTCTAACACTATTAATAAATTTATAAATTTATTTCTGACAGTTCTTTCAAGCAGCTCACAACAGAGATATTAATTTCAAAAATAATGTCTCTGTTAGACTGGTTGAATAGTTCATGCCAGTCACTTCAATAAATTTATAATTCAAATAAAATGAGAAAAATAGATATTATATTTTTTTTTGATAGAATAGATATTATATATTGATTTAACAAGAAAACAATACAATAAAAAATCAAATCAATCCCATTGATGACAATTAATGGAGAGACTTACCGGGGCGATGATCCGGAAGATTGGATCATCTGACATCCATGGATTCCGAACTCTAACTATCTTTTTGATGAGCATTTTCATCATTTTATTATTTTTTATAAAATACTAGAAATTTCCATTTCTCACTTACTTTCATCAAAAGACAAATGCACGCCCCCCGCCCAAATCTCCCTTGATACATGGATGTACGTGAAAAAATAACGGAGTTCAGGTTTCAAAACCTATCCCTGGGACATTTCTTGTCGTCGACGCAAGGTTCCGAGAACAGTTCTTGCCAGATTTCCATGAAAGCTCGGGCTATTATTCCATGATAGTGGCGCGAGTTGAGCGTCAGAAAACATTGTAAAAGTTGCTCCAAGTCTCTGGTCTCGAACATTTCCATCTCCATGATCATCTCCAGCATCGATTTCTTGAAGTCCTCGTACGGATCCTTCGACTTCTTTACTACTGTGAAGCTCTCCTTCACCTTCCCTTCCACCGTACGCCACGTCATTGATCCCGCCGCCGACGTCTTTGTCGTCTTCTTCCTCCCCGTCATTTCGGATCGTTGAAATATTTGTTTCGGAGCCTTCTCTGCGCTGCTAATTACGTGCCTGCCAATCTCTCTCTCACGGGCAGCCTCGTGACAAAATTCATCGGAGAAGATGTTCAAACCAGAAACTAGACTCTCGCTTTCTTCATCTTGGTCCATGAGGAAGTTACCCCTCCTGGTCCTGGACGAAACGACAGAGGTCACACTTCTTCGATCTCCAGCAGGTTTTACTTTCTTGCCCTTTTCACGGCCCATTTTGCGGAATTTGGATTCACAGCAAACGGGTCTGGATAGGTAATGGTTTTCGGGTGTGGTGGGTGGGGGATCCGGCATGTACGGGTTGGCGACATCTCGTGCTCTGGGGTTCACCGGAGATAGACGGTAAATGGCGGGAACTGGATTCCCTGGGAAATTGGAAAGCTGCTTAGAGCGACACAATTGAAACGAAGGGATTCCGAGCTTCAGTTTGAAGCGTTTCGCCATGCTGGAAATCAAGCCTGTGTTAATTTGAATTGCTCTGAAAGAGAATGAGAGAATATGCTGCTCAAGGGTGAAGAAAGCATTTATGAGAAAAGAAGGGCCGGCCCATCGGGAAGAAAAAATTGTAGGTAGGACCCGGCGATGACTGAATCCGAGTGAGCATGTGGTTCATACGCGAAAGGGACCTGGAATTTTTAGCGATTGTATTGTTCGAAAATGGCTCTGAATTTAGACAAATGAAGAAAAGGACTATAAGTTGCCACAATTCAATAAAATATAAAACCTGAGAGCTGTTGCCCGAAGTTGTACAACCTTCGAAGATCTTGTCCATTTATTTGGAGAGCCCTTAGTCCAAGAAAGACACATCATGTCTTTAATCTATTAAAAGCATATCAAATCAGATAATTTAATGGCAATTCATATCTATTAATAATTGCATTAACGTGACTTCATTTCAATTATCATCGAGAGACAAATATAACAGAGTCCTTTCAAGCTGCTCACAACATAGACATTCAAGAAAATGTGAGACCATGCGACGGTCGACAGAACAAACAAAGTGTACCCTCAAACCAGTTGACGAATTCAACAACTGAACAAAGCATATCTCCCCAACCACAAAAGAATGAGTCTGCCACCTCACCACCACCCCCGTATCTGTTTATCCCTTCTCATGTTTTTGGCCTTTTGTTCTTTGTGGAATTAGTTTGTTATTTAACAGAGTCCCCTGTCCAGAGATGCACGACCTGACGAAGTCATTCCAAGACCTGCTTTCCCAATTCCTCCATCATATCGCACGTGGACATGTCAATTATTTCCAAACAGCAACGAAAATCAACACTGCTGTTTGCTGCAAATCACCCCTCGTCCTTGCTTTGACTGGGACCACGCCCAGACATTACACAGCTTATCCACATTAAGGATAGTTAACTTGCTGCTGTCCGCGATTAACCCACAATGGCTGCCCTGAAACTTGAGAGATTGCATTAAAATCCAAACACCTGCTACCGTTTTGACATGTTCAGTCCATCCTTTTTGGGCTACTAAAAAAATGGGCCCAAAACTGAGGATAGCCTAACTGGACCTCGTACACTCCAGGCCGAATTGACCATTATACTATAACAAAAGTCATTATTTCCCAAACTGACACCCTTTTAAAAGTATCTACTAAAATACTACAAACTAAAATTTGGTTTAACAGATATTCAATTTTTTTTTTTTTAATCAACTCTGGACAAAACCTGGCCTCCGTCACATCAAGTTTCATATAAATATTTAGAAAACACGTCATAAAGCTTGCCACTCCCCCCCCCCAACTCACACATACAGTGCTTATCACGTGCCCGTCACTCCTAAAATAATTTAAACCGTTCTTAAACTACTATTTTTTTATTTCCTATATTTTTAAATAAAAATTTATAAAATTTTAAATAAATATATTTATTATCAACATATACCATCTATATCTAATCTATCAATTCAAATTTAATATTAATTTTTTTTATAATTTTTATAAATTGACTATATAAATTTATTTTGCATCACTCAGATTCAAAATTTTTAATTTATTATATTATTAGAGTGAAAATAGTTTAGAGTAAATCATTATAATCAATTTATAAAAATTACAAAAAAAATTAAATTTGAACTAATCTAAATAAATATGAATGGAACATCTTGATCATTAATAAAGTTATTAAATTTTATAAATTTTTATTTAAAAAATAAAAAAGTAGTTTAATTGATCTAGATTATTTCAAGAGTGATGAGCACTGAATGTGTTCCGGTGACTTCCCACACTCCTTATGGATAAGTTACAAAAAATTCTGCATTCCCTCACACTCGTTTAATCTTATTTATAGAGTATATATAATATTAATTTTGATCATATTTATAAGACACTTTATATTTTTTTTATGTTTATCTTTACTTTTATTCATTTATTAAATACTAAAAAATATTAAAAATACTTTTTTTATCTTAATTAGGGGTAAAGGTAAAAATTTATTAAAATTTAAGATAAATTAATAAGATTTAATATTTTTCTAAGTTTCAGTGAAATATATTAAAAATAATTTATAAATAAGACAAAAAAAAGTAAGTCTTGAATGCTAGTATTATTTAGATAAAAAAATTATATATTTTTATAATATAAATTTTAAGGGAATACTTCTCAAAAAATTATAAATATTTTAATTAAAAAGACGTATATTTTTTAAATTAAAAATTACCACTGATCACAATATATAAATAATGTGAGTACATAATTATGTTATTAATTAATTTATATAATATTTACTTGAATAATATTTTCAATAATTATACAGTGTTAGAGAATCAAGCCTTATAATTTAAAAAAAAGGTGAAATGAAAATTAGGAGGTAAAAATTCTAAAAATAACAAAAAATTTACCATTTTTAAAATTTTCTTCTCATATTTTTTTCTCTTTTTTATTTTCTTTTTTGTTTTTTACCGTCCAAACCAAACCTTATGATAATTAAATATATGAAATCTAATTCTTAAAAATCATAAATACAAGGGAAATAAATTTTAAAACTTACATGCCTTTTATGAGATGATTTATGTTTTTATCAAAATATTTATACTTATTTTAGTAGTATTTATTTAAAATTTATATTACACAAATATGTAATTTTTTATGTAAATAATATTATATTACATCTACATTGTGCTAGTACTTACTATTTGAGAGGGAAGGTAGAATTGCCCTTAACTTTTGCACACTACGTGGGAAAAAATTGTTGCAAAATGCGTTGAATTTGCGAAATAGCCTGTTTAATCCAAATTTAATTGATTAGGTTGAATAAATTAGCTCCTTTTTAAAATGAATTGGGCTATTCCAATTTGTAAAATTAGCGAGTTAAAATGGACTAACCTGCAGGTTAAACGGGTTAGCCCGCAGATTAGTAAATATTTTTAAAAAATAATTTTTTATTTTTTAATCACATTATATTTTTTATAAATCTATAATAATGATAATATTTTTTAAATATACTATTTATAACTCTTAAATATGTTTTTGATATTTGAAGGATAACGTAAACCTTTCTCGCAATTTTCAAATAAAATTTTTGTTATAGTTTATAAATTGATGATTTATTAGTTTCTATGTAAATATTTGAAATATATATTATTTGTTAACTTTATAAGCTCTATTGATTGTAATCACAAATATAAATTCATTAAAAAAAATAATATAAATTTATATTTAAATTTTTTTTCTCAATAAAAAAGATAACATACCCAGGTAAAAAGATGATTACTAATAAAAATATAACAAAATGAATTTACTTAATTAAATTTTATATTTATTTTATTTATTTATAAGTTTTTTTAATTGTTAATTTACCTTGCAATGTGAAATAAATATATATATATTATATAAATTTTAAATTATTAAAAAAATTTATTACATTTTTATACGTCAATCCATTAAAAAATAAATTGAGTTAAATTTTTTAACTCAATTTATCTAGCTCATCTTACAAAAATGTTAGCTGTGTGAGCTAACTCGCACGTTGGCATGTATCTTGTTTGTCCGATGATATTGTTGCTATAACCAAAAAAGAAAGCGATTAGCGATACTAGTGGGAAGAGAGAGAATGTGAAAGGTTGAATTTTTGACATAACCTTTTTAGGTTAAAGGTAAAAATACTCACAACTTTTTTGAAAGAAGTACTGTTTTTATTTTTTAATTGAAACAATTTTATCCTAAAATCTTGAGAAAGGGAGCATTTTGCTGTACCTTTAATTTGAGAAACGTTAACCGTTAAAATGAAAAAATTTGACGAAATGGTTAACAGGTGACGCTCATTGGGATTAGTTGATTCCTGGGTTCTCTTCCCCTCTCTGAAGTGTTATTTACTTTTTTTCCATCTTCTTCCTTCTGCTTTTGCATTCGCCAAGAACCAATGACGGGAAGCCTCCCTTCATGCTTCTGTTGGCTTGTCATAATTTTTTTAAAATTAATTTTAGTTGATTCAACGTTAGAACAGCCCCCCAAATTTCAGATTAGCTCCCCCTTTCTTCACTCTAACTTTGAGCTTTGAAGTCGTCTGCCGCCGTCTTCCCCACGACGTCGCCAAGGTCATTTCCCAGAGCACTATGTCATCGTCGACGCAGTCCAAGTTGAGCCAATGCCCACCGAAGCCAATAGACCAAGATCTGAAAATCTCCGTCGTTGATCGTTGCCTCTTAACCGGATCCGCCCTGCTTTCATCTCAACCTCGTCGGATCCACGCTGGATCTGGAATGACGTCAGTTTCAGTTAACATTCCAGTACATTAATAATTCATCTATCCCTTCTGGTTTATGTTTCTATGATTTTTTTCATTGTTTTGGGTGTGAGATCTGTAAAGGGTAAAACATCAGAGGAAAGATAAAGCTTGAGATGCATATCTAAACTTCTCTAAACACTTTTAGAAGGACGCGATGTTGGATGCAGAAAAAGAAGGAAGGAGATGGATATAGTGGGGTAGAGCTCGGTGAACAATGGATATACTGGATTCGTATACTGCGAGAAAATTTGGGAAAGGATTCGTATTTTGCCAAGAGGACAAGAGGATCTTGTGAAAGGTTATGCTTGGTGATATTCTTTGTTTCAGCAAATGCAATGAAGTTCTCGAAGAAAATTGCTGAAAATCTAGGTTTTTCAATTGTTAACGCCTATTCAGCAAACCCAGACAAATAAGCCAATTTCACCCGTCCTCGGTCTAGTCAAATTTTGATTTTTACCAGTCAATATTTTCAGATTTAGTGATAGGGTGAAATTGTTTTTTTTTAAAGAAAAAAATCCTGGGACAAAATTATTTAAACTAAAAAGTAAAAACACTCAAATGATTTTTTTTTTTTAAATCTCAAGACACATTTACCCTTGAACCTTTTCTTCTTATTACATCGAACTTGGTGCGGTAGAAATCAAGTTCCATTCATGATTGACAAAAAAAAAAAAAAACAAAACAAAAGAAAAAGGAACTCGGTTCTGTCAAACCGAATTTTATCCTGTAGCATTTTAATAAATATTTTTAAAATGGGTAATATTTTGAAAAATAATTTTTTTAAAAAAAATTTAGTCCTTTCATTTTTTGACTTTTAATTTATTTATAACTTAATTTTTTAACCATAACTCGCTATAATTTAATCTTTTAACTATAATTCACTTATAATTTAATGTCTTAATTTTTGACTTACTCCCTCTAATTCTATTTATAGAGTAAAGAAAAAAATTTTTTATTCCATTTATAACTTATGTTATTAAATTTTTATTATAAATTATTTTTTTACCCTCCATTGAATATTGAAGAGAAAAAATATATTATTGAAATGTGTAAATTTGATAGGAGTAAAGTTAAAAACTTATTAAATTTTAAGATAGAGTTAATAAATTTTAAAGTTTTTCTTAATATTAGTAAAAGTTAAAAGTGATTTATAAATAGGACTATAAGAGTATTTATAATTCAATCTGTCAATTTTTTGTTAATTCTCTTTTTTCATGTTAACTTATATCCTACATTAAATAGTAAGAAGAAGATATTTTAAAGTTATATATGAGTATTTTTTTTATCTTTTTTATTTAATAAGGATTTTTTTAAAAAATTAAAAATAAAAATTTAATTATAAATGAGTTAAAAGTTGAGGAATTAAATTTTATTTAAGTTAAAAATTAAAATATTAAAAAATTATTTTTTTTTCGTCTTTTTTTAGCACGAGGATGAATTTGTCACCGTCAGCCGTCAGGTTTGTCCCGGGCGGGCCGAGATCTTTGTTCCTCCACAGTCAACAGTTGATTTTGCACAACATGTCTGGTTGCGGCCTGGTGGCCCCCCACCCCCCCCCCCCCCCAAAAAAAAAGATATTAAATTCATAATCCACTCGCCTCTTGATTAAGAGTCAAACTGGTAAACTGATCTTCCCTGAGTTTGGTCATCCGAATGAACTTGAGCTAACAATAATCTGTAAGTTGGACTTTTTGAGGAAAAAAATTAAATTAACACTATGCTCCTTTACCAACCTGTTAACGCGGAGGTTCGCAACGCACCACATGATTATTATTCAGGGTCTCTTAACACTTCAAATTTGGCTTCTCAGCCCCTCAGCGAAGCTCGCGTTGACTCACTCGCTGAACATACTGACAAACATAGACACAACGATTGATGAAGGGCGAAGATCCATCCGCAAGAACCGCCATGACGAAGAGAGAGAACTCCGAAGATGGATTTGTCGGTAACAGACACTACAGGTTCTGGTGGGTCATAATTGCGATCGTTCTTCTGGCTCTTTGGTCCATGTTCACCGGCTCGATTACTCTCAGATTGTCCGCTGCCAATATTCTACGTTTCTCCTACGACTCCGGTTCTAGGATTCTCGACGATATCGATGTCCTGGTACTTCCACATCTCCACGCATAACAAAACCGTAATCAATCTTGTTTCGGTTGAATTTGCTTTGAAATTTATGCGTGTCTGAAATCTGAATTGGATGTTGTTGTGCGGAGTAGGAATTGGAGGAGAGGGAGAAGACGGTGAGGCGAATGTGGGATGTTTACACTCACAGCGCCGCCAATCGGTTGCCGCAGTTTTGGTCGGAGGCATTTGAAGCTGCTTACGAGCACCTGGCCAGTGAAGTTGATGGCGTGCGAGAAGCTGCCGTTTCCGAAATTGCAAAGATGTCGTTGCACTCTTCCAATTCAGAGCAGCTTCCTCCTCTGCAACCTAATGTCAGTAAGCTTTATCGTTCCATTTCCTCCTTTTCTGAAGTTTGGCCAAGTGATATGCGATTGAAGCTAGTTTGGAAGATAAATTGCTTATGACATTAATGTATATATGATGTTACACATCCCTTAAAATGGACACGCTTTGGTGTAATTCGGAAGATAAATTCCTTCTGGCATCACATATCCCTTGGCTACATGTCAAAGCTAGTTCTACAGAAATAAACATTGAGTTAGACCATTCAAAATATATTTATGGCCATCAAATTCAAGAATCTTTGGACAAATTAGATCTTTTGTTTGATTGAATCTCATGATTTTCCCCTCTAAGGTGCGAATTTAACTGGGTCTTGATCGAAACCAGTGTACTGGGACTTTCAGGCACGAGCGCATGTACCATTTTCCTCCTGTTTAATCATTGTCGATTCATAAAATATATATTTGCTCATATCTTTTTGTTTTTTGGCCAAAGTATACTTGCTCATATCTACGAATAGGCAATGGCTAACTAAAGTATAATGAGCATGGTGCAGAATAGTACTACTAGAGTATCAAGAAAAATCAAGCAAGGGGCAAGGAAGAGCGTGGATAATATTAAGGCTGCCAACATCTAACAACAGGAATGCTCATATCCTCATCAACATTGAAACTTCGACAATTGAGGGTTCTGGTGTTCAAGCCTGAGCAGGCTGAAGCAGATCGTTTATGGAGATCACGTGCTCAAACATATTCCCTTTCCCTCTCATAATCTCGGCACAATCGGCCTGCAGACTACTTGATGACGGTTTATATTGATAATACATTTTTGGTTGTGTACCTTTCTATGATATCATTTAAATTTTATCATTTTTATTAATTTAATATAAGTCAATATATTAATATATCATATAAATATATAATTTACAAGAAGTCGCGTTGTTAATTTACATTAATACACTATTAATGTACATACATTTAATATTATAATTTAGATACAACCTTTTTAAACACCTGATAGGTTATTTTGACACTGAGAATTATACGTGTTGATGTCTTTAAAAAATTTATGAAAGAGTCTAGGAGATATTTAATAGTGGAGTGAACTGACGTCAGTGGATAATAGAATTTATAAGTGCTACAAAAAGATTTTATCAAGACAATCATTAATCACACCAAAGTCTTTTTAACCCCCAATCTTGTTGTGAGGGAGAAGACAAAAAGGTTTGGGAAGTTTAAAGGATGGTTAGGTTTTTTGTGAAGAATGCTTGCAAGGACACTAATTGCATTTGGGAAGCTATTTTGGAGAGCTATTTTCTCCAATTTAGAAAAGATGAAGGACAAAAGAAATACAGGGTTTGTGCTTAAAATAAGAAAAAAATTTCAATGATGGCCCTAAAAATAAAATTAATAGCATGTAAGGCTCAAATCGTTCTGAAATTCTTCTGCAAGTCTAATGGCCCAAATTACAATTAATTTTGTTAGTTCAATTACCAAAATGCTCTTACCTTCTATTCCCATTTTAAAAAAAGTGTCTTATTGTTGGTTGCCGAAGCTCCAGCGATCAGCAATAAAATGTGCCAAGGGGTAGGGAGGATTTAATCCCTTAACCCCTTGGTTCCCTAAAATGAAAGGAACTATTGAACTAACAAGCACTTTAATGTATTTAATACAAAATTATATATATTATAACCTTTATTTTCAAGTACTTTTATCTATTGTTGCATATCATGAGTATCTTGTTGTATATATGAGCATTTACTTGTACATATTTGAATATCACTTGCTCATATATAAAAAAAAGGTTGTCAATTTTTTAACTCAATTTATTATATTTTTCAGAGCTTATTCTTTCAATATTAACAACTTATCAATATTATGTTAAATAAAAAAGTATATGTTATAAATTTATTTTTCAAACATTTTCATGATCTTTTATTAATCGTGGACATCTTGTTACCTATATTTGAATAATTACTTGTACATCTTTGAACATCACTTGTTCATACCCGAAAAAAGTTGTCAACTTTTGCAAACCCAATTTATTCTATTTTTTTTACAACTTATTCCTTCAATGTTAACAAGTTATTAATATTATTTTAAATAAAAAAGTACTCCCTCTTGTCCTATTTATAAGGCAGAGAGAGAGAATAATTTTTTTGGTCTTATTTATAAGTCACGTCATTAAATTTTCATAATAATTTTTTTTACCCTTAATTGAATGTTGGAGAGAGAACATATGTTATTGAAATGTGTATATTTAATAAGGAAAAAGTTAAAAATTTATTAAATTTTAATACATAGTTAATAAATTTTAAGATTTTTTTGTACTGATAAAACATGTTAAAAGTAATTTATAAATAGAAACAGAAGAATATATGTTATAAATTTACTTTCCAAGCATTTTTCATGACCTTTTGTTAATCATGTACATCTTATTGTATATATCTAAATGATTACTTATTCATATTCAAACATCACTTGTTCATATGAAAAAAGTTGTCAACTTTTTTAACCCAGTTTATTCAATTTTTCAATTGACAACTTTTTTTATGTATGAACAAGTGACATTTAAATATATACAAGTGATTATTTAAATATATATAATAAGATGTTCGTGCTTAACAAAAGTTCATGAAAATGCTTGAAAAATAAATTTATAACATATACTTTTTTTTGTTAGCATAATATTGATAACTTATTAATATTGAAGGAGCAAGTTATGAAAAATAGAACAAATTGAGTTTCAAAAAATGGACAACTTTTTTTTATGTATGAACAAGTAATGTTCAAATATGCACAAGTAAATGCTCATATATACACAAAAAGATATGCAGGGCATGCAACAACATGTAAAAATACTCAAAAATGAAAGTTATAATATATATTATTTTGCATATTATATATATATATATATATATATATATTAAAGTGCTTGTTAGTTCAATAGTTACCTTAATTTTGAGGAATCAAGGGGTTAAGGGTTCAAATTCACCCTTAGTCCCTTGGCACATTTGACTGGTCATTGACCACTACAGTTTCAGCAATTGACGATAGGGCACCTTTTTTTCAAAAAAAACAAAGAAATAGAAGGTAAGGCATTTTGATAATTTGACCAACAAAATTAATTGCAATTTGCCCATTGGACTTGCAAAAGAATTTTAGAATGATTCTGTGCACTACATGCTATTAATTTAATTTTTAATGCCTTCATTGAGATTGTCCCTTAAAATAAAGCGTTTCTCACTCCACGTGTAGCATCAATTTTAATAGGAAAAATCACAATTAAAGACCCCTGAAGATAATTAATTATATTGTAAGACTAAATAGTTTTGATATTTGTTTGCAGAATCAAAAAACCTAAATGTAATTAAAATTGATTGTAAAAAGATAAAACCACTCTTGATGTGTTTATATTGTGACGAGAGAATTGATTATTATTAAAATAAAAATAATTTTTTTTAATGGGGACTTACTCACCAAATTATAACAATTCCTCCACCAAATTAATATCTTGTAGTTGTTTGATCATTAGAATAAAAATGAGATTTTTTTTTTAATTTGGACTTGTTCACTAAATCCACAATACTTGCTCTTTTTCACTACCAAATAAATTTTTTGAATTTGTTAATAAAGAAATTGGTTGTTATTAGAATGAAAATGAGACTTGTTCACCAAATAATAACACTTATTTCACTCCACCACCAAGTTAAATTTTTAAAGTTATTAATAAAAAAATTGATTGTTGTTAAAATGTAAATAGAACTCTTTTTTTTTTTTATGAAAGTTGTTAAAAGAATATATAATATATACATGAAATGTATTTTTGTCTTTTCACAATAAAAGTAAGTGCTTTGATCCTGTAGAATAATATTAAAATTATTTGATACCACAGCACAATTAATTATCTCCACGGGTCCTTGATGATGATTTTCCCATTTTAATATTATTATACTATTATAATATATTATATTAATTAATATATCAATGAAGGGGGAAGGAAAACAGGTGCCTGGTGGGAAGAGTCTGAACCAGAGTGAGATTTAAAATATATATATATATATATATATATTTTGAGAAATGCAAAAGATTTTAATATTGAATGCATATCAATATTATTAAATGCCATTTAATTGCAAAGAAAATATCGTAAAATGTTAATTATGTTCATACAAAATGAAGTGGTTCAAATAAAATCTTAAATATTATTCTTATAATTATAAGATAATAAAAAAGAAATTTATAAATAATTTATAGATTTTATTTTAGATAAGTATTTTATTTAGATTTTAGATTTTTTTGATTATAGATGAATTTATTTTACAGTATATATGTGTATTATTTAAAAATATTAAATTAATTATAACTAATTTAATCATGATTCCACTTCAATTATACTATTAACCCATCAATTAATATCTTTCCCACTTCAATATACGACCCAGTTTTTAATATATTAGTTTTAAAAAAACATGAACTTATTTTTTTCAAATAATATTTGCTTTTATTTTTTATCTACAAAAATTATTTGTAAAGTAATTGGAAATGATCCTCGCATTGAAGTTTTACACATTAAATCAGCATAAAAACAGCCAACATTTTATTAAGCATAGTTATAAGTCCTTAAATTATTTTTCCTAATAAAAATCTTTTAATTATATTTTTACTTTAAGACGTATGCATTCTTGGTTAAAAAATAGATATTAATTCAAAACGAACACGTAGGCACTCGAGCAACATAAGCCTCGAGAGCATCCTCCGAAGCAAATGATAGACCTTAATATTATGAATCCACGTATCACATATTTTTACCTATACAAATTTTTGTTCCACCAATAACTTCCTTCCTGGCAATGGGATCGAACAAGACAAGCAAGCTAAAAAAAGGAGCCAGTAAGCCCGACGTAAGATTATAGCTCGATCAGCGTCACCAAACGCCAAAATAAATTCTACAGTTAGGAGACAAAAATGCTTGCGCAGAACCACCGAGTGCTGCTGGTGCTGGGGTTGCAACCAAAAAAAAAAAAAACACCTAAACCGTAAAAATCATTTACAAATTACCAAGTACAGCCAAAAGGTATTTATATCTCCCGCAATAAGCTCTGCTAAAATTAATCTTCTACTGTCTGGATCTCGCCCATCATGATCCTGTTACTAACGACATTAAAGCCTAAGACTGAAGGGCTGACCTTTTTCCCTTTCTTAGCCTTCTTCTTTCCTCCGCCCTTTGAAGATCCATCAGGGCCGAAGGAGTCAAGGTCCTTCATGTCCGCGTTTCCAGGATTGGTGTCTCCAACACTAAGTCCCGGAACTTTGTGATCACTACGACTTTGAAAAGCTATTTCAAGTACATCTGAGGGCAGCAACTCCTTATAATTTAGGAATTTATCAATGAATTCATGATCAGGGTCATACGATCCAAGATTTTCTATTAAAAGCATCTCGGCTTCTGATCTGGATTGCTTCAGGCAAAATTCAAGGAAACTTGTATCTGCAAGCCACACGAGAGTAAGTAAACGGTCACGTACAACTTCAGGTACAGAATACTGAAAATTATATGAGCTGCAGTATTTCAATGTATTGTTAATTATAGGCCAAGATCTATCAAACTCAATGCTAAACCTTATTCAGGGTGGCACTTCTAATTTGACAAACAAAAGCACTCTAGCAAAATTTCCTCTTGTCCAGAAGATAAGAATTTACGCAAAATCTGATTTGCCGAGTAACCTTAAATCAGAACAGACATCCAAATTAACTTCTAGATCAAAACTGAGTACAAATTAAAAGGGAATCTACCTTTAGTCCCAATAAGCCTAACACACTCGTTCTCACACCAATCTCTGAAGTCCATGGCCTCTGTACATGTCAAGAATTCATTATCTTCAGTGTATATCACCAAAGAGCCAATCATGAAATAGATATTTATAAGTGAA